TTACTGTCAGATGTACCTTGGGAAGAATGCGGCATTCAAATCCGCTCATGTTGAACAATAAATTTGGATTGTCCTTAGAGTAGACGCTGACAAAGCTGTTTTCCCACTGAATAGTTGTGGATTGTGGAAGTCTGTTCTTGATGTACAAGAACACAGCACGGCCACTGATGAAGAAAAAATGGCACATGAACATGATTAATGTTGCAGTGAAATAAGTACTTCTTGAGAAGTGTTTTTCTAAATATTACTAACTTCATTCAACTAACACCTTCCTGAAACTACCAATTCCCAAAGTCATCCACAAATAGTCGTTATTACAAGATTCACATTCATGCCAAGTCTAAATGTTTCGGATGATATTAACAACAAACACGGGCTCATTCTGGACACTGTGCACTGTTTTCAGTTCCTGATTTCTGCAGATTTGACATAATGCATTTCGTACTGCACCTCTAAATTGAATTCTTTTAGTCAAGACAATAACGAAATTACTCATATTAAAGAAAACATGGATCTGTAAGGTAAAATTGTCCCTGTGCTTATCAAATTATGCACTATGCCATGAAGACTTATGGGAGACTGGCTGTATAGTTCCACGTTATCTTGACCTCGGCACTAGTTGAAGTTGAGTGGACACCTTCATGCTCCACCAGCTTTACCCCTGGGAAAGAGCCCTTGGTATGGTAAAAGCTAAGCTGTCCCTGTAACAGGCCGTGGAGGCCCATAGGGTTAAGACATGTTGAGGCTCCCACATTTTCTAAATAATCGGCCCACAGATGGTGTAGTTGTCAGCCTGACATATTGGTGGCCTTTTACCCCCCACGAAGATTCCTGGTACTCATTTCTGTTAGATGCTGAGTAAACACTAGGGCCACATTGCAGCTGGAAGGATTACATCAATTGAAAAATTCAATAACCTCACTGAGAACCGAACCCAAGACCTTCCAGCTTGTAGCACAGCGTCTCATTCAACTATGCTACAGCATAACCCCAGTATGTATGTAGCTAAATGAATAGCACTGAAATTAACCAAACCACACATTCTCCATTGAAAACTTTAGGCTGTGAAAAGTATAGAGTAACAAAATTTTGAAATATACAACCACTCTTGGTAGCTCAACTACAGTGTAAGTCAGGATACCCATATATGACAAGAAACCAGTAAACCATATTATGTGGTCTGTCCAAAAAGAAACCGAACCTGTTAAATAGGGCGCCAACAAGCCAACACAGGTGACTTGTGTGACAGTGGCACTGTGTGGCAGTGACCTTAAGCTTCAACCTGACACCTGCCCGATTAGGCCACATTTCGTCATCGAGTACATGTGGTAGAGTGAACCTGTCTCTCGTGCCTTTTGCGATTTTTGCAAGTTGAAACATGAAGGACTTTGAAGACCAACAATGTTTGTGTAAAATTCTGCTTCAAAGTGGTAAAAACTTTAACAGAGACTTTTCAGATGTTGAAGCAAGTTTATGGAGAGGATTGTTTAAGCTATACACAATGTTACGAATGGTACCAACATTTCAAATTGGGCAGAACGTCCACCGAAGACGATCCGAAACCTGGACGGCCTTCCGCATCAATGGACAATGATCATGTTGAAAGAGTGTGTGCTGTGATTCGTGAAAATCAACGCCTAACTGTCCTCGAAGTTTCTGAAGAAGTAGGCATCAGTAAAAGTCTGTGCCACACAATTTCGACTGAGAAACTGGAAATTCATGTAGCTGCAAAATTTGTGCCACGTTTTTCGACAGATGAGCCAAAAGCGAACCATGTCACAGTCAGTCAGGAGTTCTTTAATCATTCAAATGCTGATCAAAACTTTCTAAAAAATGTCATAACCGGTGACAAAACGTGGGTGCATGGGTACAATATCGAAGCAAAAGCTCAAACCTCGCAGTGGCTGGGAAAACTGTAGCTGTGACCAAAAAGACATGTGAGAGTTGATCAAATGTGAAGGTGCTGTTGATCGTATTTTTTATGGGAAGTGCGTCGTTCATCATGAGTTTGTTCCACGTGGCCAGACAGTTAATAGACAATTTTACTTGGAGGTCATGAAGTGTTTGATGGAGGCAGAGTGAAAGAAGAGACCTGAGGGGTGGAAAAATGACACCTGGATGCTGCACCACGACAACACACCTGCTCACATGTTGCTTATCATCCATGATTTATTTGGTGAAGCACAAGACGACTGTCATCCTCCAACCGCCCTACCCTCCAGACTTGGCACTCTGCAGACTTTTTTGTTGTTCCCAAAGTTGAAATCCACTCTGAAATGTTGCCGATTTCAGATAGAAGAGCTGGAAAAAATTCACTATGGGACCTTCACGCTATCCCGCAAAATGCGTTCCAGAACTGGGAAAAACGTTGGAAGTGGTGTATAGACAGTGGAGGGGAGTACTCGGAAGGAGACAAGTCTTATTAAGTTTTAAGCTTATCAATAAACGTTTTAAAAAGAAAGTTCGGTTTCTTTTCGGACAGACCATGTACGCTTCCACAAGCTCTGGATAATTCTTTTCTACTCACAGATTCACATCATGCTTCATGAGCCTCATTCTGGCATCTCGTGGCCAACACTTCTTGTTATTGTAGCCAACAATGTTTCCATTGTTTGGGTTCGGATGCTCTGTCAGGTACCTCTGAATGAAATAACTTGCCTCCTCAGCAGTCAACCTGTGCATTCAAATGTCTTTAAATAAACTGTTTAATTCAATACAGTAATAAAATAAGTCAGGAAATGTACATATGGCCTAACGTTCATGCCATGTTAGCCACATTTTGTTTAATTTCCTGAAAACCACATGACTTGCAGGAAAAGCTTACAGGGCGTAAAATGTCCATTTTATTCTTCTCGGTGTCTGTTTGAAACATTTCTTCCACAAATAAATATTTAGCATGTGAGATATAAAATTTCATGATGATCAACACAATGGTAAATTTTCTGTGCATCCTTAATTTTTATCTGAAACAAATGTTTTGAAGAGGAGACTCTATTTCTGTCCTCCAGTAAAACACGCCTTCCCTGTCACACCAAATCAAGAGAGCTAGTTCCAATTTCCAGAGATAAGGACTAACTCCACTGAGAGGGACCAACTTGAGGATGGAACAGTCCAGATTATGAAACATCATTTCACATAAGAATTACAACAATGAGGAATGTACAGAAATATTACATGCAGGAACAACTGACATCTTCATGTTAAGGGCCCATTATTGTTTTCAAATTTTAGCCAAAATTAAAACAGGCTGACAAAACTTTGGAAAAACTTCTTAAAATCAAATTTCATCTGTTTCAGTAGTTCTTTGGATGTCATATGTGGACATACATGGTGAAGCTATCAGGCATGTTCTTCCAACTTATCACTGGAAATGCAAGAAGAAAGACATGATGACTGAACCTTTGTTTCCTTCCTGTAACTTCAGCATGCACCCCTCTGAATCTGTAACACTATCCTGTCCATGCTGAACAATACCTCTAGAATTACAGGACGTTTCCCTTTGGCATCTAATCAATTAGATAAAAACATGAATTCTTTTCAACAAGCAAAACTAAAAACATTGCAACACAAAAAACTGAGTTCATTTAAAGCAGTTACCAAATGTCTGTATGAAGAATACATTTAGATCCACTGTTACCTGAAAAATTATGTGAACTCTGTCTACATAACGACAGCAGAGTCTGATGTGATGTGCAACTTCTGACTCAACATCCTGGAATGAAAGGAAGTCATTGGGCAAATGTGGAGGACCAGCCATTGCAGAGGCTCGGGGCAACCCAAGTACTAAGAGATCCAGCACAAGCCCATAGCTCTGCACAATGAAAGATGCAAACTGCAGACCATGGATGATACCCCTTTTGTTGATATTGTCCATATCCTGCAAGAAAATAACTTACATTTAAAGACATAAGAAGGAGAAATTACCAAAACATTTATGATATCCTAACACACTGACTTCCTCATGTGGAGGTGGGTTAGAATACCTCCATAGAAGCCCTGCCAGTTGCAGAAGGAGACATAAAGGGACTTAGGTGCCTGGGGGCATAACTGGCCCTTCCTGTCACTGGGGGACATAAATACGGGGACCTGGTCCTCCAGATTGGCGGTTGCATGCAAGACTGATGACCCTACTACGTAAAAAAGAAAAAAAAATACTGTTGCAAAATCCAAAGAATCTGGCAAAATCTTCTACACAAAGTTATGGCTCAAAAAGGGCTGCTTTGCCAATGATTATGATAAACACACTGACTGCCTTTATAATACCCTTACACATTTTGTCCTAGTCCATGACAGTTTATATATTTGTCTCAGGATATGCTGAGACCCACATAAATTTAATACTCTGTGAACCATCTCAGATGGTGATGAACACTGTGGTACTCACCAACCTTACTGGGTACTGTCATAAACCTCAGAAACAGTAGATGCACGGTGGCAGCGTGGAAATGCACCCGAGCATTAAACAGTGGACTTTAACATCCTCTGTAGCAGAAAGGTAAAAGTGTACCAGTGAAAAAGATGGCTGCCATGGCAGCAAGAAAAATGTTCTGCAGACACTGCCGTCTTACATGGCAGCCAATGTGTTACATGATCCCATACCATCCTCATGTTCCCAATTTCAAAATTGAACTCTACGACGACTGAATAAAGTAAATAATAATGATAAATAAAGAAATGCAGTATATTTGAAATTAGGAAGGTCCAGGGAAACCAGGTGGGACTGAAACTAAACGGGACACATCAGCTGTTGGTCTACGCCGATGATGTGAATCTACTGGGTCATAATGTAGATACCATAAAGAAAAACACACTAACTTTAATTGACGCAAGTAAAGAGGTTGGTCTAGAAGTAAACACAGAGAAAACTAAGTATATGTTGCTGTCTTGTCACCAAAATGCAGGACAAAATCATGACATAAAGATAGGAAACAGATAGGAAACTCTGCCAAACTAATTTCTTTTGAGCCCCATAAATTCAACGTGAGAAACAGTGCATCAGGAACTAAGCTGATCATCCCTAATGCATACTAGTATCAATTATACCTCAACAGGGACAGCTCTTTTCTTATTCTGCTATTACTGACATCAATCTTCGACCTCAGTTTTGACCAGATTTCTCAGAAGTTATGACACAGAAATTATGCAATTCTGATTGGTTTTGTCACCAAGAAGTCACAAAATTTTAAACATTGTTTTCTTTATAGAAGTATCTCATGCCTTTGAAACTCCTGAAGTCAGGATAAGCAAATGCATGAGGAATGATGTTTCCACATGGAATACAAATATGAAGATTATATATAAGATATTACATTTATCATGCAAATATATTTTCCAACATCAACTTTATCAAGATTTTGTCAGAATAAAATGAAATTCCTAGCCACTATGATGGAAACTATCATTGGCATTGCAATTCTTAAGTCAATTGTATTTATACTGTGGTATAATAGTGTGACATGTCTAACCGTTCCTGGGCAATGGGATGTGGAAGGAGTTACCATAAAGACAGGCCCTTGATAAACGTTTGTTTGCCAAGTTACACAACAGTAAGGAAAGCGGTGTTTCTCCATGCCGTGCCGAGCTGAGCCAGTTGCTACGCAGCAATAAATAACTCTTGGCAGCATTGTCCAGCAACGCCTTTGTAAACACGGCGTCACACAACAAGGGAGCCCGTGCAACGACTGTTGCTAGGCAATCGGTAAACATGACGTTACACAACAGTGGTACCTATCATGTAACTGTTTTCTGTGTTGTCTGTGCCAAGCCTAAATAAGGAGCAGCAAACACTATTCAGTAGTGAGTATTGAGCCCGTTACTAGTGAGTACTGAGCCAGTTACTAGTACTTCGGATGGAATATTCAGACAGACGGGGTGAAGTCCAGCAGCCTACGAGTTGTTATTGATTTGTATCGAGTGCATGGAAGTGACTACGGCAAGAGAAGTAATTGTGATATGGCCGATGGCAGTAACTGGGAGATTGTGAATTGAGTAACTGTAAGAGCGAGTGGAATAAATTTGCTATACCAAAGACAGTGTGAAGTTACTTGTTGCGTGACCTACCCAACACGTGACAATTTGGTGTTTAGACTACCTCCAATTAGCGGTCACTGTACCAACAAATAGGCTGAAGACATTCATCTTCAATTCATTAAAGCAGCAGGGGGGGGGGTGTAATCAAATGTCCTGCCTTTAAAATCATGCTACCCAAAGCTGTCACTTGGTTTGTCTGTGCTGTCACACTGGCTCATAAGTTTCTTAAAGATTGGTTCAGGCATTCAAAATTTTGGGGGTGGTGGCTGGGGATACATATAGACACACAGCAGGGTGATCTCAAAGTAAAGAAAGCAGGCTAAAATTATCTGTAACACAGGGGTAGATTATACTCCACATAATTCAAATATGTAAAGGTAAGGTAAAGTTGTCCTTGTACTTAACTAATTAAGCACTATGCCTTGAAGACGTATGGAAGGGTGGATGTATAGATCCACATTTTCTTGACCTTGGCACAAGTTGGAAGTGACTGATCAGCTTCATGCCCCTGCCACTTTAACCCCCCACCCAGGAAAGAGGCCCCAGTACCCACTGCATAGGATGTTGAGTGAACCCTTAAGCCAGTCTGGATAACATCGAGAAGTGAAAATTCTTGACCCTACCAGGATTCAAACTCTGACCCCTTGGTCATCCAGTCCATAGCCAGTTGCTATACTGACTGCGCTATCCTGGCTCCCAATTCAAATATATGTCACAGGAAACTCCGGAACTTGTCTATAGACATCCACTTCCAACTGCGTGGTTTATGTAGCGATACAAGTATTATGTGGCTACATCAATTTTTTTTTTTTAAATTTGTCTAGTGGAGGATGGAGTCCTACTGGGTCCACTCGGCACGGCGGCCATTCATTGGCCTATTGTAGCATGCCCCGGGTGGTTATGATGATGGAGAATTTGGTGGAATGAAGATTGGCTGGGGAAACCGAAGTACTCAGAGAAAACTCACCCCAGCGCCACTTTGTCCATCACAAATCCCATTTCACCAGACCCAGGATCGAACCCGGGCACCACAGTGGGAAGCCAGCGACTAACCGCTTGAGCTATGGTGTGGCCCATGTGGCTACAAGGGGAAGTGCTAAGTGCTATCAATGTCACAGCTTTCACCATGACACTGCAACCAGTCCACATACTTCCCATATTTTAAGTTAATGTAATTGAGCAACACTTCTTCAGTGGAATCAGGCATAACAAGATTTGGTTATTATACGGATTCTTCACCTTCTGACACAGCTTTCTTCTTGCCAGTCCTTGGATGTTTCCACTGGGCTCCTATGGTTGCATGACTGAAAAAGAAAAATGTGATGTAGCCAATATACATTTTGCATTTTCAGACAGCTTGATAATTTAGTGGACATACAGTTTTCAGGTTTTAATGGTGGGGAGTGTTCAGACTGTGGTCTTTTGGGCTGTCACACCATGTAGTCTTGTATATGGATACTAATCTTTGTGAGTGATATAAAGGCAAAGGTAAAGTTGTCCCTGCACCTAATTAATTAAGCACTGTGCCATGAAGACATGTGGCGGAATGACAGTATAGTGCCACCATTCTTGACCTCAGCAGTAGATACAGGTCAGTGGGCAGCTTCACACCCTGGACACTTCATCCAAAGGGAAACAGCCCCTGGCACCCAAAGCACAGAAAGATGGGTAGGCCCCACAGCTAGTCTGGATGTTATGGAGAAGAGAAAAATGTCTTGTCTCTGTAGGCAGTCAAACCTTAGCTGTCCAGCCTGTAGTCTGTCATTATACTGACTGACCTATATATTCAAGCTCCCTGTTTAAGAATGACATACTGCTTCAATCTTCAGGTTCAAAGTGAGTGTGGTGAGGATGCAGCCACAGTATAGAGCCAGGTTACAAACAAGGTTGTCACTAGATCTTGGGAGGGGCAGAGGATATGGAACCTGGAGTTCACAATTCCATAACCCTCCTGTGACATAAACATTCTGTTGTCTGCTCTCACAGTTCCTGTTTACCATTCTCACTATCTCCAGTTGGACTGCCATCACTTCTTCCCTTCCTGTAGATCTAGTGACCCACCTGCCTATATAATATTACATCCTTATTATACTCCCTTTCACCCTGAAGATGGGACTATCACATTCCTCCAAAATATTGCTATCCATCTACAACATTACACGGTATCACTACACCAACAATTACATTTTAAATTTAGTCAACACTATTAAGACAGAAGATTGATCTCTTCAGATTATGTTATGTAATGGGTGCACTTATTGAACCAACAAATAAATTATGATATACTTGCTATTACTATGCCTAACAAAAATATTGTTAAGTCGCCTAATCAGTTCTCAATTCATCTGGAACTGAGGTTTACAAAATTAATTTCAATTTGAAGTGAAATGATTATGTCTTACTCCCTCAGACAGCACAAAGTTTCTAGCAAGCTCATTTAGATCAGTTCATTAATGTTACACATACATCCATTCGCGCAAAATCTATCTGCTTTTACAATCAATTTTACATCTTGCACCGCCATTTCATTATGAACTTGGAACAACTCCACATTCAAACACTGGTAATGCCTATTCCTTTTCACAAGCAGCCAATGGGACGGCCTTTAAGGAACCACTTGTTGCACCTACGTCACACAATACACACTGCCATCCACTGTTGCTCTCTCCTCCCAGCCTTGCAGCAACTCATCTTCACTGTCAGAATGGTCAGAATCAGGCATTACAGCCACCGTTTTTAACAAATGTACAATAAAATATTATGTTCAACTCAGAGAATCAGACAATATATACCACAACCACATTCAATGCCACACCTGCACCCCAATTTTGGTACTGTAAACACTCAAATTACAAGTAGAATCTAAAGGGTTCTGATGATGGTGTATAACACTCAGAATGACCGAGTTTCTGGACTTTGTCCATTGTCCAGTGTTCTAGTAACTAGAAAACACGTTTCAGAAACTGGATCTGTGTCCGTCATCAGGTGAGGGAGGGAAGACACCTACTCGGTTAGGTCCCTTTGAAAGAGCTAACCTCAATCCAGTGATTGAGGTTAGCTCAACTGAGGTGTCTTTCCTCCTTTGTCTGAGGAGGGAAACAGACCCAGTTCCTGAAATGGTGTTGCTTGTAGTTTCTAGAATATCGGACGATGGATAAATCCAAAAAACTCAGTAATTCTGACTCAAATTACAAATTACCCTTGGACATGTGCATATATAAACAAAGACAGCTGCTTCTTAAAATGAACAACACGAAGTTACAAAACATTCCCTGAAGTGAATGTGTTCTATTAAGCGAGACCATTGACATAGCATTTCATTCAGGAAAGAAAAAAGCTGAAATGCATATACTGCCTAGCATGGGAACTTATCAATTGGGCCAACATCTTCCAAATTTCACAAACAACAATTTGTTTAAATTCTGAACACATACAATACTAGCACAGGCAAGCATACAAGCAGACTGAATGTACTCACATGATGTCTGGAAATAACATTCAAAGAATGAAAATTGCAATCACAGATGAATGCAACTTCGTCTTTTGATTACTTAGCAAACGGCACCACTGAAACTGCAATGTGTTCGTTGAAATATGAACTTAGGAGTAGTAATTGAATTTTAAGGGCCGCGCCATAGCTCAAGCAGTTAGTCGCTGGCTTCCCACCATGGTGGATCGGGTTCGATCCCGGGTCTGGTCAAGTGGGATTTGTGGTGGACAAAGTGACACTGGGGCAGGTTTTTTCCAAGTACTTCGGTTTCCCCTGCCAATCTTCATTCTACCAATTGCTCCACAATCACCCTTACCTATNCTACAAGTCTGTTTAGCATGGCAGATCTGAAATTCTCACATGGGTGACACCATGCAATGTGGTCGCTTCTCGGTGAAGTTTGATAATTATGATGATGATAATGATCATTTATTTAACATCCATGTATGTTACACAGGCACAACTGGACAAGTCACTTGAAAACAGCCAAAAACCACATATCAACAACTGTTAAAAAACGTATAAAACAATACACCCGACAATGTACAATACAATCCCTTTCTGATCAATGTCCCCTTGCTGCAGCTTACCAAACATGGGTAACAACTCTCAGCAATTCCATATACAGCAACAAAATATACTTACCAAGAACACAAGTAATTCATGTAAAACAAAGCATCATATATTTAGTGAACATAACAGTCTGAAGACAATCTAATCACAGGAAGACGAAAATTGACATGCTTTGATGATGTCAGACAAGACCTTATGTTATTGAATGTTAGACTCAAGATCCACTGCGATGGACAGAGATGCTTGGAGGCTGTTGGTGGAGGACGCTAAGGCCCACAAAGGGATGCAGGGACAGTTGGTAAGGTAAGGTAACTCTCTGAAGTTCCTGAACTTCCTGCACATGATTATCCACACTTAACTTATTGATCTCATTTTTTATATAGTCACTATATTCACTATTTCCAGGCATTTGTAATATAACCTTGTTTTAACGACCACTCACCTTGACTTCCTGGCCACCCAGCATCTGTTTATTTACACTTGGATAGCTATTCCTATCCTCAGTATCTTTCCATTTTATGTCTATCAGAAACACCTTATTTGTGCGGAACATGTATTATATTGCTGAGGTAACTTTATATGCTGTTTGCTCCTTCCCTTTAGCGTTTAAGTGAAACCTATGCCTTATAGAAGTCCAAAGTTATAGCCGACAAAGTTTTTAATGCACCTTTCTGTCTTCCTAGTTTTCTGCTACACATTTTAACTTCATAATTTACAAAAGAGTTAGGCGCAAGCTCATGTCTATGGGGTACATTTTGCACAATAACATTAGAATGTTCATGTGACTTACAAAGTCATTCGGAAACACTAATATAGGTCTCATTTCTCCCAACACCATTTGTAAATCCTCATGCTAAACAAACGTGTTAGTTAATGTGTTTAAATCCGAGCAAGTCGTTTTCACAAACTTTCCTAGAGTGAATCCAGCTTTTATAATAACCTGTATTTCAAATCCATAGTTTAATCTAAGCTTCAGTTCTCTGGTAAATCCTCCCATTAGTGTCCTCTTTTGTTTTTCCTTACCTATATTCTCGTTTGTTTAACTTACATTATTTTCCTCAACTTCGTCGTCTTGTTTGCCTCACCAAACTTATGAATTCGATTCTAAAACGATTTCCACACCAGTTCTCTTCACATATTCAAGGATCTTGATCCAAACACCTACAAATAAAACCACGTACACGACGCACCGACGCCATCTTTGTAATTGAATGAAGGGGTCGGGTGGTGTTAGAGCACGCCAAGTACCTCCCCGAGTAACTGAAAAACGAAATTATACCACAAAAAAAATAAATTTTATCCTGAATACCCTAGGATGACCAATACAAACGTTGACCCCTAAAAAAATTTTCACTTAACCTTGCTGCGGTCGCAAATTATTAAATACAAAATTTAGTGATTATTTTCATTCGTAATTTTTATGGATTTTCTTTTCGCAGCTGAAGTCGTGTCTTAAAAGCTATTAATTACACCGTTCAATGATTATTTGTATTCATTTTTTGGCAGCTAAGGTCCTGACTTAAAGTTGTGGTTATGACATGGACTAAAATGTAATATGGCTAGTACTATAAATTACTAATTACACGATTTATTTGCTGGGTTTATTCATGATTTCTATAGACATCCTTTTTGGTAGTTGAAGTTTTGACTTAAAGTTATATCTGAAAGCGGCCAAAATGGGACACAGCAATAAGTACAGAAAGGTACGTGTTGCCCCGTTGCTAGGAAAAGACTGATAAACAAGCAGGTATATAACAAACGTTGCTAAGTAACAGCGCTCAAAGAAGTACATTTCCATGGAAATAGTCGCACTGCAACAGAGGAACGGCGTTTTTCTGTGTTGTCCGTTCCGATGTTATATAATGTGACTTGGACTTGGAACCCGCATAGTCTGAAGACTCAACCCAGCAAACAGCGCGTGAAGACCCAGCAGAGCACGAACACTTTGGATGTGCCATAGTAACTTGAAGTCTGTGCAGAACAGTGAAATTCTCGTAACTTCAGCATCCGAAAAAATTCCATTCGGGACTGCCGCCTCAGTAGACGAAATGGAATCCACGCAGTTCTGGCGGTTTCAACGATGGAGCTTACAACCAGCAGAACTGATATAATGGATGTTTCTTGGCCTGCTGATTATCACCCTCATCGAAATCCTCATTTTCCACATGGTGGATTATCTCAACATTACATTTATCGACGGTGGTGGCGTAAGGAAGGCGGAACAAAACAGGAGCTGTCAGATATCAGGACGTTGTTACATATGTGTAATAGGCTCATCTCAGACATGAAAACTATGTTGGTCTCAGTGGAAGACGAGAAAGAGCATCACTTCGCTCAACTGAATAAGGAGTGGTATTTAACGGAAAAGATGACGGAGCTGCGAAACAAAAGCTATGCCCGAATTCAAGAGGAGATTGATTTAATGAAGACGCTGATAAAGCTTCAGAGCCAAGAGCTTGATCAATTTCAGTCTTCTGTGGATTCAGCAAAAGATACGATGAAGACGTAAGACAAATGCTATACTAAATTACTGGATGATATACTTCCAATGCAGATGGCGACGCAGAGAAATATCTTCGATATCTATCATATAGACCGTATACTTTCGAGCACCCAAGCAGTTGCGCATCAGAATGAGGGAACCCAGGAAAACCTGTAATGTAGTGTCCACGTCTACAGCCGAGAGAAGAAAATTCCAAGTCCGGGTGCGTCTGGTGACACCCCCAAATGTAAAGGCAGTGACACTAGGATGAAGAGAAATGTATCCGTTTTGATTGTGGTTTCTTTGTAACACTGGACGGAAAATACTAGCAGAGTACAGTAAGGGCCCTTGTCCATGACTAGAATTCCTGCCGGAACTGTAATTCCTCCGGCCGGCCGACAAAACCGGGTGGTCTTGTCCACGGAGATGGCAGGCGCGCGGAAAATGTTTCACTCGAGTCGAGGTGAGTCTGTGCACGGGTGCAGTAGAATGGATAATACGGATGTATGCACCCTCATTCCACTATATTATTTTCACAAAAGGAAACAGCGACAACGCAGCAGGTATTGGGTGCATCCTGTGTTGCAAGACCGATTCAAATTTGGTGCATTTAGTACGCTGTTACGACAGGACGACGCAAACATGTTAATCTTCTTAGAATGTGAAAAGAAACATTTGACAAGTTACTGACAATTTTATGCATCCATTTGAAACATGACACCAATATGCGGAAGTGCATTTCTCCTCCTGAAATGCTAGCAGTGACACTGAGGTTAGGACACATTCAAATTGTTTAGTTGCTTGAAAATATTTATTTGTTATACAAAAATGAACACCTTAATTTAAAAACCTCTCGGTAAAAGAAGTGAAACGGAAAATGAATTACTTTTATCTACCTTAACAAGGACACAAATGCCCTTTTTTCATTCAATAGACCAAAAAACAAATGAAAATGTCCAATATTGATATAAATTATTAATTTCCAGTAACACCAACAAAAAATACCTTAAATTAATTGTATCCTCCTTATTAACGTAGCCACTAAAAGTGATAGTTGTCTTTCATCCTTTTTATACACTCACATTATCAAAGATGACAAAACACTACATGTTTTAGAATTCATTAGAAAAATCGAGAGTCTCTGAAACATTAGATAAGGTGGACGCAGGACTAGTATAAGATTCAAAATACGTCTGTTTACTAGATGCAGCACTTGTACTAGTTGAGGCTTGTGAGTGTTCGGTAGGGGAATATACAGGATGGCCTTGCTGTTGATTAGTTCACGATGTCTGGTACGATGATGGACCTGCGACAGTTTGGTATCCACATGATGCATGACATTGGTTCCCGGAAAATTCAGAGGATTGTGGACGCATTCCACTGTTTCGATGTTTTGACGTAATACTTTTAATCAGTTTCATGACTTCATATTGAAAGTCGACGATATCTTCGTCATGAAATTTGTCTACAGTTGGTGCAATACCCTTAGAAAAAACATAATTCTGCTTTGGCCCTGTTCAATTAAGCGTCAACGATAGTCATCATTTCCCTGTCCAATTCATTTGTAGCTCTCTTATCTCCCAGTGTTTCAAAATCTTCTTTAAGATGTGAGCATACATCCTTCCAAGCTTGCAAAGTTAGCCACCTGTCTTTGTACTTTCACTTCACTTATCCCACAGTACTGGTCTTTCCTCGATATGCGTAATTAATAATTCAAGTCAATATTGAATTCTGCGCTCATTGTAATGAAAAGAATACTACAGACACAAAACATATGAAACTTTACACGCTCAAGACCAACTGATGACTGACGGCTAGCTCGCAGGCTCGTGGACACGTAGACTTGTCTACGACAAGAATTTTCGCCGTCCGCCGTTCCGATAGATTTACCGGGTTGGTAGTGATGCATTGTTTCATATGAGAGTTTGTCCACGAGCCATCACGGCAAATCTTCCGGATGCAGCACCGGATTCCCACTGTAGAGAGGGCAGCCGGACGGTGCACCGTGTTCTCAGTGGGACACGCATTAACATGTCTACGTGTCCACGAGCCGGCGAGCTCGCCGTCAGTCATCAGTTGGTCTAGAGCGTGCAAGTTTCATGTGTTTTCTGTCTGTAGTATTCTTTTCATTGCAATGAGGGCAGAATTCAATATTGACTGTGAATTATTAATTACGCATATCGAGGAAAGACCAGTACTGTGGGATAAGTCAAGTGAAGGGTACAAAGACAGGCGGCTAACTTTGCAAGCTTGGAAGGATATATGCTCACACCTTAAAGAAGATTTTGAAACACTAGGAGATAAGGAGAGAAACGATCTAGGTAAGTAATTTTCATCTTAAATTTTTGTGTGATAATTTTATTAATACACAATACATACTTTCTATCTATACATACCATCTGTTAAATATCAATGAAGCTCCACACGTAAATAAGGATTCCACCCCTTTCTGCGTTTTCGTGCTGTACTTCGCAGGGATTATCCGTCTGCTGGTGGAAGAGACGAACAGGTACTACCACCAGTACCTAGACAGACTTCAAGACGCACCTTCTCCGCGGCCTGACGTGACCGATTCCGAGATGTTTCTGTTTCTAGGAATAATCATTTAAATGGGACATGACATTAGATACAGACTAAAGGACTACTGGTCGACTGCAGAACAATTTGCCACGCCTTTCTACTCTAGCACAATGAAACGCGACCGTTTTCTACACATTCTTCGTTTTCTTCATTTTACAGACAACAATACAGAAACTGACAGAAATGCCGACAGTTATGACCGACTATGGAAAATTCGGACCATCTTCGACACTCTCAATGACGCATATGAAAAATATTATAACCCTTCCGAACATTTTGCCATAGACGAAATAATTGTAAATTCAAAGGGAGGGTGGTTTTTAGGTAGTACATTCCTAAGAAACACAAACGTTTCGGAATCAAAATCTTCAAAATATGTGACGCCGCTGGGTATACTTATGACATGAAGGTTTATCTAGGAAAAGACAGGACACGTGCCGACCAAGACGTGACAGCGACACATGCTACAGTTATGGACCTATGCAGACGTATTGAGGGCGTAGGTCACAAACTGTACATGGACAATTTCTTTTCGTCACCAGACTTGTTTGAGGAACTGATGACAAAGGACATAACGTGCTGTGGGACAGTTAGACCTAATCGGAAGTGCTTGCCTGACGATTTTCGACGAAGACAATTTCGACTAAAGAAAGTTGACATTCGTGTTAGGGTGAGACGGAACTTGACGGTACTAGTTTGGAAGGACAAACGTGACGTTCATATGTTGACAAACATGCAATGTCCTCCAGCAGAAGGCAGTTTCTGTGATGAGCATGTAAATGCCATCAAGCCAGCAATTGTTGCTGACTACAACAAGCACATGGGTTATGTCGACAAAGCGGCAGAATGGCAAACAGTTATAGCATCAGTCGTCGGACCTGGAAATGGACAAATAAACCATTTTTCCATTTCCTGGATATGACGATTCTGAACAGTTTCATCCTGTTGTCATCCTGTGGCGCGAAATTGTCACACAGAGAATTTCGTCTCGCCCTTGAGCGCAACATGCTGGGACAAGCTGCAAGGGGTCGACCTCGTCCTTAACGGTCCAGGGGTCGACCTCCTGCTGTGTCATCGGCGATATCTCGATTAGAGGAGGCCTCTTGACATCACTGGCCGACTTCCTCTACT